ATACATACATACATACATACGACAAATGGTAGATACATACATACATACATACATACATACATACATACATACATACATACCAGTGTTTCCTCTAAGCTGAATTAGTGTGAGCTAGCTCACAGTTTTTTAGCCTCCAGCTCACACATTTTTTGTCTCAGCTCGGGAAGGAGGACTCCAGAGCAAACGAATTCATGCAGCAGCCAAATCGCTCGCTCACAACTTTAATGCCAGTAGCTCACAAAGTAGAATTTTTGCTCACAAGACTCCACGACTTAGAGGGAGCACTGATACATACATAGACAGATAGATGAGGGGAGGGAATAGATAGATAGATGATAGATAGATAGATAGATAGATAGATAGATAGATAGATAGATAGATAGATAGATAGATAGATAGATGATAGATAGATAGATAGGGGATTGATGGATGGATGGATGGATGGATGGATGGATGGATGGATGGATGGATGGATGGATGGATGGATGGATGGATGGATGGATGGATGGATGGATGGATGGATGGATGGATGGATGGATGGATGGATGGATGGATGGATGGATGGATGGATGGATGGATGGATGGATGGATGGATGGATGGATGGATGGATGGATGGATGGATGGATGGATGGATGGATGGATGGATCGATGGATGGATCGATAGAGCGATGGATCGATGGATCGATGGATGGATCGATGGATGGATCGATGGATCGATGGATCGATGGATCGATGGATGGATGGATGGATGGATAGATAGATAGATAGATAGATAGATAGATAGATAGATAGATAGATAGATAGATAGATGATAGATAGATAGATAGATAGATAGATAGATAGATAGATAGATAGATAGATAGATGGATGGATGGATGGATGGATGGATGGATGGAAGAATGGATGGATGGATGGATGGATGGATGGATGGATGGATGGATGGATGGGTGGATGGAAGAATGGATATAGATAGATAGACAGATAGATAGAATGATAGATAGATAGATAGATAGATGATAGATAGATAGATAGATAGACAGATGATAGATAGACAGATGATAGATAGATGATAGATAGATAGATGATAAATAGATAGATGATAGACAGACAGACAGACAGACAGACAGACAGACAGACAGACAGACAGACAGACAGACAGACAGACAGACAGACAGATAGATAGATAGATAGATAGATAGATAGATAGATAGATAGATAGATAGATAGATAGATAGATAGATTAGATGATGGACGGACAGACAGAGCAGTTGCCCTGACCTGGATGGCCCAAGCTAGCCTGATCTCATCATATCGTGGAAACTAAACAGGGTTGGCCCCTGTTAGTGTTTGAATGGGAGACCACCACGGAAGTCCAGGATCACCAGGTAGAGGCAGGTGATGGCAAAGGCAAACCACCTCCGTTGGAAGTCCCAGGGGTTGCCATGAGTCAGCTGTGATTCCGTTACAGTTTATTCGAGTTTAACAGCCCATACGCCGTACACTGCAAGACCAACTTAAAGAATTAAAAATTACGGTGAAACCACCGTTTGCCACATCCGCACTACAGTTTTTGCAGAGGCTACTCAAAAGTAACCTTAATCTTGAAGTACCAGGAACGGTCAAGTACTTCAGTAGCCATTTTCTAAAATTCTCTCTCTCTGGATGTGACATACTTTAGACAGTAGCAGGGGGGGGGAGCATATGGGGCAATTAATCGACTTAGTGGCTCTTTCCTCCAATTGGTGCTTTGCAGCCGCTTCAATCACTGCCTGAAACCCTGGCAAGCCGCTGCCAGTCTGAGTAGACAATCTTGACTTTGATGGACCAAGGGTTTGATTCAGTCCGCGCGCAGGGCTCTTTTTGTAGCAGGAACTCCTTTGCATATTAGGTGACACACCCCTAATGTAGCCAATCCTCCAAGAGCTTACAGTAGCCCCTGTAAGAAGAGCTCCATAAGCTCTTGGAGGATTGGCTACATTAGGGCTGTGTCACCTAATATGCAAAGGAATCCCTGCTACAAAAAGAGCCCTGCCAGCACCCTCAAATCTCCACCACCTCCCTCTCCATGCTGACTTTCCACTTTGAATCGCAGATTGTATGGGGGAAAATAATGTCCTCAAAAGAATCCAAGAACACCACAAAGAACATGCAATTCCGCCCTCTGGCTCTGAGATTATTGTTTAGTTGTAAAATATCCAACTGGGGCCCCGTTCACACGGCCAATTTGCCGCGGGAGAGGCACGGGTGGTGGGCGGATTATCCGTGCGCGATCACACCCCAACATCTGGGAAGTGGAGCGCACCCGTGGCCAACCCATGGCTTACCGCTGGAAATGTGTGATAAAATTGTAGTACCTCCAAAGTACTGGCAACCGGTTTGCCATGGGCTGCCTCCGGATGCCTGCGGTGTGATCGCGCTGGCATGCAGCTTTCCCCTCCGGCCCCTTGTTTGCTTGCCGGCACCGAGGGAAGGACCCGTGGTGTGCCGCCGGCGCATCTGATCGTATAATCGCGGATCACAATTTC